TAGTACTTTTTACTTATAGAAAACAAAGTAGAACTACAAAATCTTGCAACTTTCACTTACTAATTGCTTAGGTCGCCAAAACACCTTCCGACCTTTCAAACCTTCACCTATTGCATCAGTTTAAAAACAATAGATTTAAAGGTAAATATGTGACTATCTTTACTTATTTAAAAGTACTTTAAAAATTACAGTTGACAATATAAAAAAAAGATTTTCACCTCAACCAATCAAAATGAACATCCACTATTTGTCGCTCAATTCCCCAATGCTGACATGCTATTTCATCTACAGCACATTTTTTCGATGACATATATTCGACATTACATATTTTCGACAACACCTTTCTTAGATAAGACATTTCCCCAAGAATCATTTCTTCGGCCCGATTTAGCCTGATTTAGAATTAGTGTTGGTTAAAATCATATGTCGAGAAATTATTGTCGGGGGAATGCGAAAAGGATTGTCGAAAAAATGTAGTGTCAAACATATGTAGATGAAATATCATGTTGGCATTGGTGTCGGGGAAATGAGTTGGCGGGTAAATAACTTTCGGAGAATCGTGCCGTAACCGTTCGTTCATATTAAGACATGGCGATTTTTTAATCAGAACGAACTTTTTTTTATCAGTTAGTTATAAAAAGTTAACAAGCTCATACAAAAATCAATTCATTCAGCAGATATCGGGCAAAGCAAATCATCGGGTAATGTCAGCCCAATTACATAAAATTTATGATCCATCATTCACGAGTTTCGTCATTCGTCATTTCGTCAACTCGCGTCACCCATCTTTAATACAAATAGTTTTAACAAATAAAATCTTCTAGAGCATATAGTTCAGTACAGTACAGAATCGACTATGATAATATGATTATTTTTGAGTTTATTGCAATATGGATATATAAAAATTTTACAGATTACAATTATGTGATACTTAAATAATAGTTTAGAGGCTATAATATATATATACATCCAGAATAATCCTACATTATAATAATGAAATTTCGGCTATTTTATAAAATTCTAAAAATAAAATCTCTAAGCACTGATATTTAGTATTTTTTAAATGAAGCCTTCAATTTTTCCAAACATACAATAATGCTAATATTTTACTCTAAATGCAAATTTGTCTTAGGTTCTACCCAGATACACTTTAGAGTTGACAATATTAATAAATAATTGCATAATAATTTCAATCTTTCTTTTTTGACATTGAATTTTATTCAAATAATCCTACTAATTCTTTCGTGAATTTAGCAACGTCAAAAGATGCGCTTGCCAGTCGTTGTTTAGAAGCCCTATTGCTCATAAAGTTTTCACCATCATTTGTTATAGTTTCTCGCATCTCACCCAGTTTATTAACGCCATTCTCCAGGTCTTTTAGTATAGGATCACCACGTGAACGATAAAGGGCACCAGGTGACGTCTCAAGAAAATCTTGACATGTTGAAATAACGCTAACAACAATTGTGACAATGTTGGTGATATTTTCAGGGAGTTCATTAGAATATGATCCATTTCTAATAGAACTTAGAAGTGTTTGAATTGCTTGAACTATGGATTCGGTTTGATGTTCCAAGTAATCCTAAATTATAGCAAATTAGTTACACTAGTTAAAAATCTATATGATATAAAACTTATATGTAAAGCCTAAAGCTAGGCTTATTAAAAATTACGAAATATAGGCTACATATAAGTCATATCAAATATTGATATCTACGACAAAGTTAAAAGTAAAATTTATAATTGAGGCTTAACTTACTTTCAACATGCTTACATCGATATGATTTACTTCTTTATGAAAAGATGTTTCTGTATAATACATAATGATGTTTAAAAATTCATTAAATTTTTAAAAATATCGCAGGTCGAATTTTAAATTTCTAATTTCAGAGATATCAGCAGAAGTATCGGATACCCAATACTTTTGGTAGAAGGATATCCTTCTGATAGTGAAAGTACACGCAAAAAAATCGGTTAGCTATTCTATTAGACATATCGACGTCCTTCTGCTGATATCTCTCAGAAATGTTATAGAAATTCTAAAACTAGACCTGTGTATAGTATTTTAATATCGTTCTTTACCATTTAGACTTTTCATCTCGGCCATCGCCTTTTCATATTTACTTTTCCATTCATCTATTGTTCTCGTCAAAGATTCCTTTTCTGAAGATAGCTCTTCATTTTTTATAGAAAGTATCTTAATTTCTTCTATGAGTGACGTTGCCTCTTTTTTCACATCATTGGTAATCTATGATTGGTCAATTGGTTAGAATGATGAGGTAAAACATTTAGACAGCCAGACAAAATTGAATTAATATTTAACCTCTAGTTGTTGTTGACGTTCTTCTTCCAATCTAATAATTTCTTGTTTCTGTTGCTCATTTATTTTGCGTAATTCTTCTAATTGGTTTTCAAGACTATTTACTCGACTGTTTCCATTGGAATTTCCACTCCCCTACGTATTCACAAATTGAACATTAAACAAATCTTGTCGATACAATCCTAAATTAAATTATAGAATGCTATATACCATTAATTCAGATTCCAATTCATTTACTCGTTTTTTTAAAGCAAGTAACTGTAATTCATAATCGGATTTCAGCCGTTCTACAGAATTCATCTGTAATATTTTTTGTTTTTGAGATTATCAATATATGAAATTATAAACTTAAAAAGAAAAAAAATTTCTTTGCAAAAAATTGCAGTTATTTTATTTTTAAAATAAGAAAAAGCTATTTTAAAAATATGTTAAAAATGTATTCGGCCATGTAAATTAAATTGGCTGTTTCACATTTTATGGACAAGCAAACAGGAACAGGCCGGCCGGCAAAAAATAGTATATTTAAAAATTTTTTAATGTTATAAATTTGTAGATTAAAAAAAAAAAAAATACTCGGCCGAGTAACAAGAAACAATTTTGTTTGTTTGCATGGCCTTAATAATATTTTTTGCTTGATTATGGGTTTATAATAAGTTTATAATTTAGTAATTGTAATATAATAAAAACATTTTGTAAAAAATTGATTTTTTTTTTAAAAAAATCGATTTTTACAAAATGCTTTCATAATAGCACAAAAATGTTTTTATTATATTGCAATTACTAGTTATAAACCTATTATAAGCCCATAATCAAGCAAAAAATATTATTAATATATTTTTAAAATAGCTTTTTTTTTTAAATAACTCCTCCATAACGTTTTGGAGTATACACGTCACTCTGGTTATATCGACATTTTTGAGACATTAGTAAAAAAGTTCAAAATGTCGGTACAGTGAGTTATACCGACATTTTATATTAAATTTTTGCAAAAAAAATGTCGGTATAGAAAGATTTTATGTCGGTATAACCAGAGTGGCGTGTATTATTATTTTAAAATAAAAATAAATGCAATTTTTTGCAAGTTTCTGTAAAGTTGTTAAAATACAAACTTTTTTATGACCAATAATATCTCCAAGGTCAGCCATCAAATTGTCAAGTGATTCAAAATTTACTTTTTGACTATTAACAGTGTCCCTAGTTCCTTTACTCGAAATGCTAGTAACACTACCCATGCTCATATAATGGTTTCCTATATCAGACGAAGAAGACGCAGAGGATTGAGAGCGACTCCTTGGTACCTTTTGAACTCCATATTCTGGTGGCATACTATCTGGTATTGGAATATTACTATGAATACCATTCCCGTTAATGGCATAGGGTTTTGGATTATTTTCAATACTGTTGTCAGTAAATGAAGCACCTGGTCGACTGGTTGGTTTCTGAATTTGAAAATCAGTTATAATTTCCTGCTTTGCAGTCGCAATTTTAGGAACAATTGTGTTCGATTGTGGAGCTTGTCCGGCAGATGTTGATGATTGATAATTATTATAATTATTATAATTATTATAATTATTATTTAACGGAATATAATGTGGTGGTGACGTTGGCGTCATTGGAAACTATTTAATAATTAATTAATTAATTGTCAGATTTAATTGAATCGAATAAACGGATAATTTACCTTCATATCTTTTAATTCAGGATGACGCCTTTCTAATTCATAAAAAATATCAGCTGCTAAGTCTTTAAAGCGGGTCATAGGTAGTGTAGCCAACTTTTGCCGCGCTTGATTTCTTTTCGGATGAAATTCATCACGCACTGCTAGAAAGGGCACTAAATGCAGATAAGAAACATAATTAGCCCATAATTACTGATTTTCACTCTTTTAAAAATTTTTTAAAATACGAATTGTAGTTTACTACTTTATTTCTACTTTTTTGAAAAGTCGCATGTGACACGAATTATCATTTATACTAATCTAATGAAAGAATACAACAATTTATATACCTTCGTTCGAATTCATTACTCGACGAGTCAACTCATCGTACACATCCGTGGAAAGCTCATAGAATTGAACTTGTGTAAGTTTATTTAATTTTTCTTTTGCGCCTACTCTTGAATTATCGGAATTCTCTAAGAATAATATAAATGTATCTTTTATTAGCTCATTCGTAATCGAAGATTCCATGGGTGCCTTTAACTGTAAAACCATGACATACCATTTGTAAGATGTGTTTCAAGAAATGATTTTAAAGCTTCATATTGTGTAATAGCGACGTCCATTTTTGAAGAATTATGTAGAAATTATGGTATTTATTAAAAGAATGTGAAAGTAAAAAAATTAACCCATTAACAGGTAAAAAAAACTTGAATGGAGTGTAAGTGAAATGCTGTCAGAAAAAAAGTAAGGTTGTTGAACATATTGTGTTAGTTGCGTCACAATCGCAATCGTTTCATAAAGTGGAAAATCTTAACTATTATATTGGTTAAGATTTTCCACTTTATGAAACGATTACGCGATACACAAGACAAAGGTTTTTATTTGTTATTGTGACGCAACTAACACAATATGTTCAACAACCTAGTCTTTGTTCTGATAGCACTTCACATATGTTCCATTCAAGTTTTTTTTTCTTTACCTGTTAATGAATTAATTTTTTTGCTTCATATTCTTTTAATAAATACCATATTTCTTCAAAAATGGATGTCGCTACTGCACAGTATGAAGCTTTAAAATCATTTCTTGAAGCACATCTTACACAAATGGTATATCATAGTTTTGCGGCTAGAAGCACCTCATAGAATAATCTATGATTAGAATGAACCAATAAAAATACGGTTGTATATTATTCTTTAAGAATGCCGAGAGTTCAACACAGGTTCTACGAGCTTTCCACGGATGTGTACGACGAGTTGACTCGTCGAGTAATGAACTTGAACGATAGTATATAAATTGTATAAATGATAATTCGTGTCACATGCGACTCTTCAAAAAAGTAGAAATAAAGTTATCTGCATTTTACTACCCTTTCTTTCAGTGCGTGATGAGTTTTATTCCGAAAGTTAATTCAATATATGATCTGCATACTGCATAAATTGCATAAGCAGAATAGGACTAATTCAGAAAACTATAATAACGATATTGCAGATTTTTAATATTACACAAATAACATACCAACTATATATGTTATTTTAAATGATTCCAACTTCAACTCTTTGTACGTAACGAGTTCGCCACCAAAAGTACGGTCACATGATAAGACGCCACAGTCATATCTTAATAGCGATTTGTTACATATTTCATTTTAAGAAATTTCACGAGCTAGACGATTCATGCAGTGATTGTGGCGTCTTATCATGCGCCCGTACTTTTGGTGGTCGCCCTGGAGAACTCCAACTGATAAAGGAATAGAATTACCCACGATTTGCTTATGTTAAAGAATTAAGTTACGTTCAAAGATTATTTATTGATATATAAAATTTGAGACTTCGACTAATAGGATACATTAAATTTATGAAAAAAAATTGTATTTAATGTACAAGACTATCTATATTATCGCGGTTTTCGAAATGGTTGAATTGTTTCAAACAATAAGTACGTATGTATGTAATCAAACATCGATTTGGTATATGAGTATACACAGTATACAGGTATACTAGAGAAATTTTTTTTTACTCATTTCTACCATTTCGAAAACTGCGATAATAGATATCCGACTATCTGCAAATATATTTTCGTTATCCGATACTATATAGTTATTGCATACGAAGTATGCAATAACTGCTGTATTTTATGGACGATGATGATTGGTTGGTAACCC